TCGCGCGGTGGTGACGCGCGGCGGCGGGAGTTGCGGAGGCGCGCTCTGGCCTGACTCCGCGGACCCTCCCGGGCCTCACGCCCCCTCCGCGGGCGGCGCCTCTCCCGGCCGCCCCTTCTCGGGCCCCGAGGGAGCGTGCGGGGCCGGCGCGTCCACCGAGTGCCCCCCGCTGGCGTCTCCGTCGGCTTGTCACGGTTCTGCGGGAGCCACCGGGTGCGGGCTGACGGGCCCCGCGGACCCCGCTCCGGCTCCGGCTCTGCGCCCCCGGCCGCGGCTGTTTGGCCCGGGGAGCCGAGCGGGGCGGGCATGGCCAGCATCACCCAGCTGTTCGACGACCTGTGCGAGGCCCTCCTGCCCGCGGCCCAGGCTCCCCTGCGCCCGCGCGGCCTGAGCCGCCGGAGGGCCAAGCAGAGCCTCAAGCGGGCGGCCTACAACGCGCTCTTCGCGCACCTCTTCCAGGAGGAGCCCCCGAGGCCGCCGCCGGGCCGCCCGCGCCTCCCGGTGAAGAACAAGGTCCTCATGCTGTCCTTCGACCTGCGGGTGGGCGGCCTGGGGCCCGAGGCCGACCGCCTGGAGGCGCTGGTGGAGAAGCTGGAAGCCGCCCCGCGCTGTCCGCTGGCGGAGGTGGGGTCGGCCCTGGACCTGCTGGTCCAGCTGGCGGGCACCGGGCCCCCGCAGGTCCTGCCCCGCCGGCGGGACCTCTTCCTGAACAACAAGCACGTGGGGAGGAACGTCCCCTACGGCGGCTACGACTGCTACGACCTGAGTGTGTTCGAGATGGACGTGCAGGCTCTGATCCGCCGGGAGGAGTACCTGTGTCAGGACACGATCCACAAGGCGCTCCAGGTGATGGAGGCCACGCCGGGCACCGGCCTGCCCACGGCCCGGCTCTTCTCCTACGGCGACCCCGGCGGGGACAGGTTCGAGAGAGACACCCGCGTCTCGCTGTTCGAGCCCTGTGCACAGTCGCACCTACGACATGGACGTCCGGCTGGACTTGCCCCCGGTGCCGGACAGCGCGGACCTCTCTGGACTGGCCATCAAGGTGAGTGCCGCCCTCCTGCCTGCGGCGCCCGGGGCCTTGGGAAAGGCCTCCCTGGCCGCCCTTTGGTCACGCGAAGGGAGTCCAGGCCACTTGGGGGCTGCGCTGTGGGAGGCCGGGCTGCTGCTGCTGCTGCTGCCCACCACCCGGGCAAGGACGCCGCTGCCGGCTGCAGGCCCAAGCAGGCGCGACAGGGCGTGCTGTTGAGGCGTTTTGCTGTCCTCAGAGGTGCCGCTTAAAGTGCAATACGACGTTCAGTTCTCGGTCACATAAGCCCGTTTCAGGGGCTCCATTTCCATACGGGGTAGAAAATGTGCGCTCGCACTGTACCTGCAGTTTTACATGCCTTTTCCACCTGTGACTGGGCTTTTGCATACATCACTGGGCTGTGTATTTTGTGGTTTTACGAGTGTCCCCGAAAGAAGAGACGCACTGTCGTTGCTCACTCGTTCCCTTACTACGAGACCTTTACTAGCAGGTCATCTGCAAACACGCACGACGCTGAACATCGTGGTTCGCATAAGTCTTTCCGTCTCTAGTCTGATTTTATGCTGGTTCCCCCAAATTGGCACTTCCAGAGCGGATGCGTTTCATTGTGAGTTACATTGAGGCTTACGTGTTGTGTGAAATTGGAAATTGAGAACCTTAGTAAATTAACTTAATTTCTTAAATTACGTAAGGGAGGCGGCAGCGCTGTGTGGTGCGTACGTGCCCACGAGGAACAGGAAGCATCGTCAGGTCTTTCCTGTGTGAGTGGACGTGTGAGGTCCTGGAATTCCCATCACGGGGGAACCTGGGCCCAGAGGCACACGTGGTGCTTTCTCCTTCGCCCTGGTCTCCAGGTGCCTCAGAGTGTGGATCCGTCCGAAGATGAAGGGTTCCAGTCAGCATCCAATTTGACCCCCGACTCCCAGTCTGAGCACGGCACGACCCCCGAGATCGACCCCTGGGACGCGGTGCTCACCTACGAGGCCAGCAAGCGGAGGTGCTGGGAGCAAGTCGGCTGGTACGTGCGCCTTGGCCTTCCCAGGCCTGCCCTCTCCGGCACGCGGGTGTGCTTTACCCAAGAGCCCGGTGGCTACTGGCAGAAGCCGCTGTGGCAGGATGGGGACTTGGGAGTCTCAGTCAGCCTGGTGCACAAAATCATCTTTGTCCTGGGAGTTGAGAGACGCTGGGGGGCGAGGACTGGCAGCCTCGCGGAGGTTCCCGCCGTGCCAGCCGCTCTGCAGGCCACACCTCCCAGCTGGAGCAGAGCCGCTCGCACCCGAGCTCACGTCCTTCCCACGAGGGTGCCAGTCTGAGGTGTGCGGGGTCGGCCCGGGGGTGCGGTCAGGGCTGGGGTGCTGACGAGGGCGCTGTCTTCGTGTCCATTGTTGTCCACGTTGAGAAGGAGGGGAGCGCTGCTCTCGGGCTGGTCACTGTGGTGGCGGCAGTGTTTCCTTGGTCACCACTCAGCCGGGTCCAGGGGCCTCTGAACCTGCATGTGCTTGTGTCTCGAAACCTCCCGGAGTGGGATGGAGGCCTTCCCCAGGTTTACTTGCTGAGTCGTTAGAACCTGTTTCCATTTAAACCCCAGCCACCTGGCCGGTTCCTGCCGTGGGCAGTTAAGGAAGCCGTGTTCCCACCACAGGCAGAGCTCGCTGTCCCGCACGGCTCCTGGCTGTAAGCCCTGCCCCCGCCCGGGGCCTCTGGCAGACCCACCTGCGTCCCTGAGGGTTGGTCTGCAGGTGCCGCCCATTCTGGAGAAGCCGCTTCCTCCTGTCGGCTGAGTCCTCCGTGGGGACGATGGGGATTTTAGTTGCTTGCATGGGCTTTTCTCCCTCGGCGCTGAGTCCGGGCGGGGGGTACAGGGTGCGGGGATGAGCCTGCAGGAGTGGGGCCGGAGCCGTGTGCCCCCCCTGCCCTCGGAGTCGTGAGTTGGAATGTCCAGCAGCTTGGAGCCCGTAGATACTTTTTGAGTTGCTAGACCTAAACCCAAGGCTCTTTGGGGAAGAGGAGAAAAGAGCTGGTCAGGTTTTACAAGTGAGAAAAGTTTCAGAAAGGCCTGTATTCCTGGCCTCTGTTTACTAAGAAATTACCTTTTCCATCAGTTTTAAAAGACAGTTTTTTCATACTTTCCAGGAGAGGTTGTTGGTTTTCAGAGGAATATTTTCCAATGTCCCGTGTCTGTGGCTGATTGTAACGATGTGACTGTGCTGGGTGAGGCCAAGCCCTTGGTGCCCTGTGCCCAGAGCCCAGAGCCACACTCGAAAGACCCAGTGTGTCTGCTCTGTGCTGGCCCGGCCGGCGTGGCTCAGTGGTTGAGCGTCGACCTATGAACCAGGAAGTCACAGTTTGATTCCCAGTCAAGGCACATGCCCCGGTTGCGGGCTGGATCCCAGTAGGCGGCGTGCAGGAGGCAGCCGATCCATGATTCTCTCTCATCATTGATGTTTCTATCTCGCTCTCCCTCTCCCTTCCTCTCTGACATAAAAAAAAAAATCATGAGGCTGCTCTGTCCATCCTTTGTGTAATATGCACATAACTTGAACTCGCACACTTGGACCGTTTTTAAGGATACAGCTCAGTGGCATTAAATACATTCACATTGTTGTGCAGTCACCACCACCATCATCTCCAGAACTTTCCGTTTTCCAAATGGAAACTCTGTCCCCATGAAACGCTCACTCCCGTCCCTCCCCAACCCCTGGCACCACCATCCTACCTTCTGAGTCTGCCACCCGGGGCCTCCTGTACGTGGATCGGCAGGGGGTGTCCTTCCTCGTCTGGCTTGTCTCACTGAGCGTAGCTTCATCGGGGCCCGTGGTCGCAGGTCCCGAAGGCCCTTCCTTTGCGGGCTGAATGCTCTCCCGTGTGGTTTAATCCACGCACCGGTCGGGGGACAGACCCGGGCTGCTTCCCCCTTGGGCTGTTGTGAACGTGCTGCTGTGCACGGGTGTGTGAGCCTTGTGCTCGTTTTTAAGATAAAGCTACGGTGTGAGTGTCGGTCGTCCTGAGGACCATCGTGTGGGCCCAGTGGGTGCTGGGGTGGGACTCTGTGTGGATTGTCTGGACCCAGCGCAGCCGGTGCTGAGCCCACAGAGCTGAGGGAGAGGCTGGTGGCTGGGCGGACACACACCTGCTCTGTGTTTCTTGGACGTTGTGTTGTATTGAGTCGCTTTCTCCTGCTTTTTGTTCATGTAGTTGAGGTGCCCGTGGCTCTGTCTCCACAGCCCCCCTGGCCACAGAGAAGAGCCCTACCTCACGGAGGCGGGAAGGGACGCCTTCAACAGTTTCTGCAGGCTGTGCCGAGGAGAGCTGCAGGTGCTGGGCGGGGGCCTCCCGCAGGCCGCGCAGCCCGTGCTGGTGCAGGAGTGCGAGCTGGTGAAGGACGTGCTGAACGTCTTGATCGGGGTCATGTCTGCCACGTTTCCCCTCTGCCAGGTAAGGGTGCGGGCACACGTCACTGCACCAGCACAGGGTTGGTGGCTGGCACTGCCCGAGCGCTCCACAGGGCAGGAGGAGGCCGGTGCGGGGAGTGGATGGCCCCAGCCCCAGCGCCAGGCCGGTGGGCCTGCAGCCGCTCTGCGGCAACGGCAGAGATGCATTCTCATTTCAGTCCTAAAAACTGCTCATTCATTAACGTCCTTTGCAGGCGGAACAAGAGTAAGGTGTTCGTTGCTCTCATTCATTCTCTGACTGTGCGTTACAGCGATTGATTTTAAAAAATATATTTTTATTGATTTTTTACAGAGAGGAAGGGAGAGAGAGAGAGAGTTAGAAACATCGATGAGAGAGAAACATCAATCAGCTGCCTCCTGCACATCTCCTACTGGGGATGTGCCCGCAACTCAGGTACATGCCCTTGACCAGAATCGAACCCGGGACCTTTCAGTCCGCAGGCCGATGCTCTATCCACTGAGCCAAACCGGTTTTGGCTCTCTCTCATTATTGATCTTTCTATCTCTCTCCCTCCCTCTTCCTTCCTCTCTGAAATCAATAAAAAAAAAAAAATGTCAGTGATGAGAGAGAATCATTGATTGGCTGCCTCCTGCACACCCCCTACTGGGGATTGAGCCCGCAGCCAGGGCATGTGCCCTTGATCGGAATCGAACCCAGGATCCTTCAGTCTTCAGGCCGACGCTCTACCCACTGAGCAAACCAGCCAGGGCGAGCATCGTCTTTTTGTGCTGCAGGATTTGGTGCCTTAGTACCTGAGTGAGGACTTTGCATCTGTGTTCACAGGGATTTGGCCTGTACTTTCCTTCCTGGTGATGTGTTTTGTTTTTTTTTTGTTTTGTTTTTTTAAATATATTTTATTGATTTTTTACAGAGAGGAAGGGAGAAAGATAGAGAGTTAGAAACATCGATGAGAGAGAAACATCGATCAGCTGCCTCCTGCACACCTCCCACTGGGGATGTGCCCGCAACCAAGGCACATGCCCTTGACCGGAACTGAACCCGGGACCTTTCAGTCCGCAGGCCGACGCTCTATCCACTGAGCCAAACCGGTTTTGGCCCTGGTGATGTGTTTATCTGACTTTGATTTGGGACAGTCCTGGCCTCTTGGCATTAGGGACTCTTCCCTCCTCTTCAGTTCTTGGAAGAGTTTGAGAACAGTCACATAAGTTCTTTAATTGTTTGTTAGAAGTCACCAGTGAAGCCATCTGGTCCTAGGGTTTTATTGTTTGGGGGAGGTTTTTTGTTGCTTTTCTTTAAATTATAGCAAAATATACCCAACATTTATCTTAATGTGTTGGGAGGTGTGCTGGTCTGGGCCTGTGAATAGTGAGGTTGCTGGGGATGCCTGCGGCACCCACTGGCCTGTACTGACGTGTGGCAGCCCCCACTCCCCCCCACGCACCTGGCCGGGCTGTGGCTGGACGGCCCTGTCGTTCCTTGGATTTCAGGACACACCTCGGCCAGAAACCGTCAGGGACCTTCGAGGAACAACATCGACTCTTCGCAGGTCTCGGGGGGAGAGAGGAGGAGGAAGGGGATCTGGGGCTCTGCCTCCATTGGGTCGAGGGTAGGGGTGCCTCAGGGTTTGTGGGTTCACTCTTTATTTATTTTATTTTATTTTTTAAATATATTTTATTGATTTTTTACAGAGAGGAAGGGAGAAGGATAGAGAGTTAGAAACATCGATGAGAGAGAAACATCAATCAGCTGCCTCCTATACATCCCCTACTGGGGATGTGCCCGCAACCAAGGTACATGCCCTTGACCAGAATCGAACCCGGGACCTTTCAGTCCGCAGGCCGACGCTCTATCCGCTGAGCCAAACCGGTCAGGGCGTGGGTTCACTCTTTATTGGTGAATTTAAAACATAAGGGTGGGAATTAGGGTGCAGGAAGGGAGCGCTGGGGTCACTCAGGCGGGCCGTTATCTAGGCCCCAGGGTTCCTAAAAGGGGAACTTTGCCGAGGGGCGGCCTGGTCTCGTGTTTTGCTGGCAGCCTCGCTGTGCAGCTGGCACGTGCGCTCAGGGCTCAGGACGGGCTTCCCGCCCAGGTGTCCAGTCAGGGCAAGCTAGTTTCCTTTTTTCTTGAGGCCGTTTTGCAAGTTGTATATTTCCGGGAATTTTCCCATTTCATCCAGGTCATCTGATTTGTTGGCAAAGAGTTGTTGATGGTGTCTTCTCTGTTTCTGTAGAGTCAGCGGTATGTCCCCTGTCCTTTCTGACTCTAGGACTTTGCCTCTTCTCTCCTTTGTCATCTTTTTCTTACTCAGTGCTGCTAACGGTTTGTTGACTTTGTTGATCTTTTCAAAGAAACAACTTTTGTTTTCATGGTTCTTTTTACTGTTTCCAGTCCATGTTCTTTCCCGCTGCTCTCACCTTATTTCCTTCCTTCTGCTTTGGGTTCAGTCGCTGCCTTTTCCAGCTGCTTGAGGTGTGCAGTGCAGTTATGATGAGACGTGTTCTTGACGCAGGCGCTTGGGCTGTACGTGTCCCTCTCGACGCGCATCGCTGCGCCCTCGCGGTGCTGCCAGCGTCCCGCAGGCTGTCTCCCTTCTCTGGCTGCAGACAGTGAGGGGGAGCGTGCTGGGCAGAGGCTCTGCATTGTCCATTATTCCTCGGACCTGACCCAGGAGTTGGGGTCGGCTCCGAGGGCCTTTTCTGAAGCTTGTGCTCCGAGAAGGTTGCTCGTTGCTCCTTCCATGTGGTGTGGAGGGCACCCTGTCTCCGCGCCTCCCACGTGGCCTGACATTTAAACGTGTGGCAGGGAGTGGTCACACTGGGTGGGGTATGCCTGGTGGCCACCTGCTTTCTGCCTTGGAACGTCCTGTTCGTGTGTCTGGGGCTCTCTGGGCAGAGCCGTGGTGGGGTGCGTGGGGGTAGGGGTCTTGGAGTCTGGCCTCAGTGACCCCTTCTCTGCCCTCTCCAGCCGACTCAGGCCTTCATGGTGAAGCGGGGCATCCACGTGTCAGGAACGTCCCCCGAGAGCATCAGCAGCCTCCTCTCGGAGGTGGCCGAGTGCGGGACCCACTACGCACGCCTGAGCCACTTCTCTCTGCAGCCCGTGCTGGACGCCTCCTGCAGCAAGGGCCTCGTGTTCCAGGTGGGCCTGGCCTCCTGTGAGGTGTGCACAGGAGCTGGGAGAGGGCCTCAGGGCTGCCCACACCACTGAGCCCTTGTCTCCTGTCACGCCTGCAGCCTGACGTCACCCTTCCAGAACGGGGGTCTCAGCAGCGTCACTTGACTGGGAGCCTGAGATAGTGGGAGGCGGGTGTGGCCCACATCTGGGGGCCTGGGCAGGACCAGGCGGGGTGGGTGGGCCCAGGCTGCTGTTCCCCACCGGGTCCCTGGTGCATCTTATGCAGTTGACACAGTGGATTTCCCTTATTTGGCGAGTTGAGTTCCAGGAGCTGGGGCTGGACCAGGTCTCCCTGAAAGCCTGCCCCTGCGCTGGGTACAGCCCCCAGGACAGCAGTGCAGCTCCATGGGAGGGACAGGCATCCAGTGGAGCGGGGCATTCTGGGAGCACGGACAGAAGTGCCGGAGGAGGGCACCAGGCCCAGTGGGGCTGGGCTGCGAGTTCCTCAGGGTTTGGTGCTGCAGGGGGTGGTCGGGGTGGCAGGATGCGGTTCAGGTGTAGCTGGGCCCATGGAGACGGGGTAGGGGTGGGGGCAGAAGGAAGCTGACCCAGGCAGACTGCCCCGCCACCTGGGACATGAGGGCAGGCCCGCTGTCTCCTCGCTGGTGGGGTGGACACTGGTTCTGGCGGGTCCTGCAAAGACGTGAGCTGAGCTGGGGCCGTGTGTCCCTGAGACCCTCTCAGTGTCAGCCCGTGTGCAGTGCCTGCCCCTCCCCAGGACCCCCAGCCTCACTTCCCAGTTTCCTGGTGTGGCTGGTCCCGGCTGCAGGGACAGGATTTGCAGAGGGCTCGGTCCTAGCTTCCCGCTGGGCTGGGGTGCCTGGGTGGGACCCACAGGTGCCCATTGGGAAATGGAGCCCAGGGTTAGGGGATGGCAGCCGAGCCCGTTCCTAGCACCAGTGACCCTTTCCAGCCCTGAGCTCGGCTGTGTCCGTGCCCAGCCTCCTCCTCTGAGTCCCCTTGTCCAATAGGCCTTCACCAGCGGCCTGAGGAGGTACCTGCAGTATTACCGGGCGTGTGTCCTCTCCACCCCGCCCACTCTGAGCCTCCTCACCATTGGCTTTCTCTTCAAGAAGCTGGGCCGGCAGCTCAGGTGAGCACAGCACAGCGGCCACGCGTGGGGGGCTGGGTGGGGCCTGGAGGACAGCCCTCCTGAGAGGTGCCTGGACAGTCCTTGCCCGGCCGAGTTCCTCAGGTGCTGGGCCCGGGCGTGATGCTGGCTTGAAAGGGCCATGGTGCTGGGAAAAGGCGCGGCTCCCATGGTGGGAGCTCCCGCCTGAAGGGCACTCAGGAACCAGTTAGCTAGCCCGGGCGAGCGTCTGTCCGGCAGGTGCCAGCTGGAGAAGAGAGGGTGCAGGGCTGGGGGCCTGGGGAGGTGAGCTCAGTGGGAGAGGAGGCCTTCCAGGCCGAGGGGAGGAGGGTGGAGGCCCTGAGGGCTGGAGACGGGCCCAGTCAGGGAGGTGGGGCGGGGATACTGTGCTGCACGGGGACTGCCAGGGTGGAGAGGGCGAGGGGCCTGGGCGGGGGCTTAGCAGTCATCCAGGCCAGAGGAGGCGGCCACCTGGGTGAGGTGGTGGGAGTACAGGAGGGGCTCAGGGCAGAGCCCAGGTGCAGGAAAAGACCAGCACTCAGTGATGGGAGCCTTGGCTGAGCGGGAGGAGGGGAGGTGCATGGGGTGCCGTGGAGGGGCCCCGCAGGCGCTGAGGTCTGAGATCCTTGAGGGGCAGCTGGTTTTAAAGCCAGAGGGTGAAGATGGGAGGGAAGGGCTGGGCACATTCTGCTCACCTGCTTCCCCCCAGCCTGGGGCTCTGAGCACCTGCTCTCACCTGGCCTGTCTAGGTACCTGGCTGAGCTCTGTGGTGTGGGCACCTGCGGAGGAGAGTCCCGGGCTCCTTTCCCCACTGTGAGTCGTGCGGGATCCAGGAAGGGGGCGAGGCTGGGTGTGACTGCCAGGCCGCAGGGTCCCCTTGCTGTGCGCATGCGTCAAGCCCCACCCTTGGCTGTCTCCAGGGCGTGAAGCTGCTCTCCTACCTCTACCAGGAGGCCCTGGACAACTGCAGCAACGAGCACTACCCGGTGCTGCTGTCCCTGCTCAAGACCAGCTGTGAGCCCTACACTCGGTGGGCGTGGGGCCCGGGGCGGGGCGGGGCGGGGGGGGGGGCACACTCAGTCTCAGCAGATTCTTGAGTTGAATTCCTTGTCCCACACCTGCTGATGGGGAGGGGGCGGCATAGTCAGGGCTTGGACTGGGCTCCCTGGGAACACCCCTCCACCCATGGCAGCCCCGCCCACCTCACTACTGGCCCACCCACCCTGGCAGGTTCATCTATGATTGGGTGTACAGTGGGGTCTTCAGAGACGTTTATGGCGAGTTCATGATCCAGGTGAACCAGGACTACCTGGGCTTCAGAGGTAGGTGGTGGCTGGCTGCTGGGCTGGGCCTCCATGCCGTCCGGGGGGCAGGGCGGTCCTGGACGCAGGCCAGCGTGTGTCCCGTCCCACACTCAGATAAGTCCTACTGGACCCACGGCTACGTGCTCATCTCCAAGGAGGCGGGGGACTGTGTGCCCGCGTTCCTGAAGCACATCGCTCACGACGTGTACGTCTGCGGGAAGACCATCAACCTGCTGAAGCTCTGCTGCCCTCGGGTGAGTGAGGAGGCCCCATGCTCCCCACTCATGCTCTCCTCGCCCTGCCTCTTGTCCCTCTGGCCTCTCAGAGCTGAGGTCCAGGCCTGTTGGACCTGTCCCCCGAGACCTGGCCGCCTGTCCTTATCTCTGGGTCAGCACCTTGGAGCTGGGACCGCGGTGACTTCTCCCTCAGGGTCCCCTGAGTTTCATGAGGGGCTCCTGCCTCCGGGCCCATGTTCACAGATGGAGGGAAAGCAGAGGCCTTTCTGAGGCCGAGGGGCAGGGGGCCCTCCCCTCCTCGTCCTCGTGGGAGACGGCCCCTCGGGTGGGGAGGGGCTGCGGCTGCAGGAGGGTGGACAGGCTGGTGCAGGGAGCTGTGTCTGGGGCAGAGGCTTGGACAGAGGCCTGTGCCAACGTCCGCGTGGCCAAGGCCCAGGGCAGCGGTGGGTGTGGGTGGACGAGCAGCCTGTTTGAGGAGTGCTGTCCGATGTCTGAGCAGAGGCAGGCGCTGGCCAGGTGGGCCTGGGGCTTCCAGGGACCAGAACAGTGTGTGGAGGCCGACCAGGGGCCAGTGTGGGGCTGGAGGGTCAGGGCAGACGAGGGGCCAGATGTGACCTCGGAGCCGCGGGGGATGCCATCCCCTTGGTTAAGGAGCGAACTGCCCATGTGGGTGACAGAAGCATGGAAGCAGAGCTGGGGGTGGGCACGCGTCAGCTGGGCTCCCGGTGGGGTCCCCTCTGTTGCAGCATTATCTCTGCTGGTCCGACGTCCCCGTGCCCCGGATCTCGGTGATTTTCTCCCTTGAGGAGCTGAAGGAGATTGAGAAGGACTGTGCCATCTACGTGGGGCGGATGGAGAGGGTGGCACGCCACAGCTCCATCAGCAAGGAGGAGAAGGTTTGAGGACCATAGCCCTGGGGGCTTCCCTCACACCCTCCTCCGCTCCAAGGGGTGCTGGGTGTGGGGTGTGCAAGTGGTGCTGCCCCTGGCGTTCTCTGTCCTGGGGGTGTGTCTGGGTAGGGCATCCACGGGCAGGGGCTCTGTCCTCTCTTCTCCGGGAGCTGGCTGGGCGCTGGCTGGGAGCTGGCCGGGAGCTGGCCCTCCATCCCTGAAGGACGCCCCTGCGAGCTCCTTGGTCCCTTCCAGGCACACACTCAGGCCTGGGGTCTCAGCCTCGGATCCCGTGCAAGACCCCCCAGCTGCCCTGACAGGAGCCAGTCTTGTCACTGTTCAGGATGGTGGGGGGCGGGGTGCACTCGCCCTCGCAGCCGGGGCGCTGTCCCTGGGGGAGTCCACCTGGGGTCTGAGCAGCCTGTTGCAGGTCCTCCAGCCCAGGGGAGGGGCAGAGAGGGGAGCTGTGGTCACCGCTGGTCTTTTCCAGGAATTACGAATGGAGATTGCTAAGCAAGAATTAATCGTCCAGGCCCGAGAAGCGGCGTCCAGGGTCCTGAGTGCACTGAGCGGTGCGTGTGGCTCGGGTCCCCCTCTGGGATGCTGGCGGCTGCCTGTGGGGGCTCCTCAGGACGGTGCTCTGTCTCCATGCAGATCGGCAGATGTCTGAGCGGATGGCCTTGGACGCCCGGAAGCGAGAGCAGTTTCAGAGGCTGAAAGAGCAGTTCATGAAGGACCAGGAGGTGGGTGGGCTGTGGGCTTGCAGGGCCAGGGTCAGCTGTCGAGGCTGCGGGTGCTGGGGGCGGGGGGCTTGCAGGGCCAGGGTCAGCCGTTGAGGCTGCATGCGGGGTGTTATGCAGCGACGCCGGGCGGCCCGGCAGGAGGAGCTGGACGATGACTTCAGCTACGCCCGGGAACTCCGCGACAGGGCGCGGAGGCTGCAGGCCCTGGAGGAGCAGCTGGAGAGGAAGGCGAGGTAGGGTGGCTGCGGGGGTGGCACTTGGCTGACCCTCCTCGGTGAGGACACGGCAGGCCCCGTGACTGGTTTGACTTGGTGATGGTCGGTTTGCTTTTTATTTGGAAAACGTCCAAGTAGTTGTCTTGACTCCGAGCAGCCACTTGGCCTCAGTGCTCCTGGAGATGGACATGGGCACCTTCGTGTGTCCTCAGCCCCAGAACGTCTGCTGGGTGGTGTGTGTGGGTTGGCGTCCAGGCAGACTGTGCTGGCTTGACCCTGCCTCTCGTCTGTTTAACGTCCAGCCTGTTGGCCTGACAGAGTTGGGCATTTGTCCAGCACAGCGCCCGACAGTCGGTCTCTTACTGTGTCAGACTTGTCCCACCCTCGGGTTCCAAGTCCCCCAAAGCCCAGGGAAGAGCTGGGAGCAGAGTGGCCTCTCGGGGTTCTTCGTGGGAGGGGCTGTCCTTCCTGCTCAGGGCCTTGGTGGCCCGACCTCAGATAGTTTGTAGAGCTGAGCCCTGGAGCCAGTGATGTACGCACACGTCTGTGTGTATATGCGTGTGTGTGTGCACGTGTGCCCGTGGGTATGTGCATGTGGGTAGAAGTTATTCTCCTTCCTTCTGTGCAGCTGAGGAAGGGAGGCTGCCCCCAGAGGGCCCTTTGCCTCAGTGCAGAGGCGCATTCTGGTGTTTGTTCAGCATGGGCAGAACAGCCAGCTGGTGAGGCCCCTGCAGGAGCTGTGGGTGCAGAGGGACCAGCTGGGGGCAGGGGAAGGTGCCAGGTGTGCAGACCACCTGCCCGGGCCTCTGTCATGGAGAACCGCCCCCAAGGGGAGCAGCTGGACAGTGTGGGGTGACTGGTGACCAGTCCCCTCTGCATGTGGCTTCAGGCAGGCGCTGGTTGACCATTATAGCAAGTTGTCTGCAGAGGCAGCTCGTCGAGAGCAGAAGGCGCTGTGGAAAGTCCAGAGGCACAGGCTGGCGAGCGCGCGGGCTCGCTTTCTCTTAGAAGATCAGGAGCACATTCAGGTGTGTCAGGGGCCACTCTTCCTGGGCTTTAGGGGCTCCAGGACCCCCTGAACCTTCACGCAGACCTGCGTGCCCTTCTGGGGAAGGGATGGTAACTCCCTTCAGTTGCTCGGAGACGCGGCTGGGAAGGGGCTGTGAGGGCGGTCTGTAGGCGAGCTGCACAGCCCTGGGATCTCAGTGCTGAGGCTCCGGGCCAGGTGGCTTGGGGCGGGGGGTCAGGACTGCTCCACCTGCGCAGCTGCCGCCTCACGCCCTGGCATTGACTTTCAGGCCATGCTGAGAGACGCAGCCGAGGGGAGGCCCCCCGAGCCGCCAGCGGTGCTCCCAAGTGCGTGCTCCCAGGTGAGGGGCAGGGCACCTCCTGGGCATGTCGCATGGACTCTGAGCTGGGGGCCCAGGCCTGTGCTGCCCAGGGGGCAGTGGGTGCCTGTCCTGTGTCCCCACGGTCCCCAGAACGGAATTTGGGGATACAGCTAGATAACCAGGGGACCAACGATGCTCTTGTGTTTCAGGCCTCGTCTCTGGGCCCTGGGCACCCCGATGGAGGTGGCAGCTGTGATCCTGGGTGTGCAGAGCAGCACGTGGCTGCCTGGGATGGCCCAAGCCGGCCACAGCCCCTCGAGCCTCCAGCACTGGGGGCCTGCAGCAGCTCAGAGCTGGGAGCAGGCCTGCAGCCAGGACAGGCCGAGGGGCCAGGGCTGTTCTCTGCAGGCCTCAGTATCCAGGATTTCCTGCCCACGGGCCAGGGTGCTGAGCAGCCTGGGGGCGCTGGGGTGGCCCCTGTCTTGGAGGAGGCTCTGCAGACCATCGGCTCAGATCTGCGCTCCTCTGCTTCGTCAGCCACAGCAGGCACGGGCTGCTCGGGGCCACAGGAGTACGATTTCAGAACTGTCCTGAGGCCAGCTCTGGTCACTTCGGCCTCAGGGTCCCTCCAGACTGTGGGAGGCAGCTTAGGCTGCGAGGGGCTGCAGCTGTGGGGGGACACTCACGAGTTTAGGCTGGACACCTGTGTCCCGGATGGGCAGGTGGCTCTGCCTCACCCATGCCCACCCAGGAATAACCTCCCCAAGGAGGGGAGTAGCCAGACCATGGGGCAGCTTCTTGGGCATGTGTCTGAGGGTGGTATTCTCACAGGGGGCAATGCTTCTGGAATGGCCCCCTCCCGGCCACGGTGGAACGTCCATGGACACGTGTCTGATGCCAGCATCAAGGTGGGGGAGAACGTGTGGGACGTAGCCCCCTCCCGGCCACGGTGGAATGTCCACGGACACGTGTCTGATGCCAGCATCAAGGTGGGGGAGAACGTGTGGGACGTAGCCCCCTCCCGGCCACGGTGGAATGTCCACGGACACGTGTCTGATGCCAGCATCAAGGTGGGGGAGAACGTGTGGGACGTAGCCCCCTCCCGGCCACGGTGGAACGTCCACGGACACGTGTCTGATGCCAGCATCAAGGTGGGGGAGAACGTGTGGGACGTAGCATCCTCCCGGCCACGGTGGAATGTCCACGGACACGTGTCTGATGCCAGCATCAAGGTGGGGGAGAACGTGTGGGATGTGGCTCCCTCCCGGCCAAGGTGGAACGTCCACGGACATGTGTCTCAGTCCCAGGTGATGCTGGGGGATCCCCCAGGGGAAACCCAGCCTGATAAGCCCAGGCCCCTTCCGAGCCCCCCTGACCACGTGTCCCAGCCAGGCCTCAGCCTGGGAGCACAGAGCCCTACCTGGGACCATGACTCACAGCTGCTGGCAGAACCGGCCTCAGTCAGTGCCTGCACTCGGGTGGCTGGCTCTGGGGAAGAAGGTAGCCTCCAGGCCTTGCCGGGTGCTGAGGCTGGACCCAGTGCTGTGGGAGACAGCACCCCTGAGCCAGGTCAGTGGTCTGCAGAGCTGTCCTGTCGCTGGTGGTGTCCGGGTCCAGGAGGGGGAGGAGGAAGGGCGGGAAGTCTGCTGTCCTGGGACTTGGGAGGTGCTGCCCACAGCAGCACTGGCCCTGACTCCCCCTCCTGGCCCATTTGTGCCGCTCAGGCCCAGGGAGGAGTGGGGACACCGAGGACGGCTCTGCAAGCCAGCCTTCCAGCTCACAGGTCAGGGCAGAGGAGGGTGGGGCTCAGGGTTGGGGGGCCACACCCCACCTACCCCTCTCTTTTGGACAAAGGGAAGGGGCATGGTCATGATGCTGGGTTGTCTTAGGAATGTGCAGCCTCCCTGAGCAGCCCGGGCCTGGAAGAGGAGGCGGAGGACGGGGCAGTGGCCAGGCGCCAGGGCAGGGAGCAGGCCTACCTGGCAGGCCTGGTGGAGCAGTACCGCCTGGAGCAGTACCCGGACAGCTACGAGGCCATGTGTGAGTGGGCGCGTTGTGGGAGGGCGAGGGGGCGGCCCCTGGAGGCCCCTGGGTGACATCAGCTGTGCCGGCCCTGTCCCTGCAGCAGAGCCTCCCGTCGCGCGCCTCCTACACCACGGGCTTCCTCGGGCCTTCTCGCTCCCCGAGGACACCCGGGGCCCGCTGGGCACGGAGACCGTGGATGAGACCGCGGTGCAGCTGAGCGAGCTGCTGCCGCTGCCGGTGCTCATGAAGCACTCGGTCACTGCCCCGCTGGCCGCCCAGTGAGTGCCCCGCCCACCCTGGCCCCGCCCCCACCCCTCCTGGCCCCGCCTCCACTTCCCCGCCACCTGCCTGACCCAACCCCTCCCCAGCGTGTCCCTGGTGAACAAGGCGGCCGTGGACTACTTCTTCGTGGAGCTGCAGCTCGAGGCGCACTTCGAGGCGCTGCGGCACTTCCTGCTGATGGAGGACGGCGAGTTCGCACAGTCCCTGAGCGACTTGCTCTTCGAGAAGGTGAGCCCGTGGGGTGGGGCCGGGGCGGCGGCGGCTGCGGGGCAGCCTTGGGACCTGCCTCCTCTCCTGCAGCTGGGCGCCGGGCAGACGCCCGGGGAGCTCCTCAACCCGCTGGTGCTCAACGCGGTGCTGCGCAAGGCGCTGCAGTACAGCTTGCATGGGGACTCCCCACTCGCCGCCAACCTCTCCTTCGCCCTCAAGTTCCTGCCGGAGGCCTTCGTCCCCAACGCTCCGGATGTGCTGAGCTGCCTGGAGCTCAGGTACAAGGTCAGCAGAGCTGGCGGTGTGGGTGGGCTGGGCCGGGCCGGGCCTCCAGGTGTGCTGAGTCCACCCCCCGCAGGTTGACTGGCCCCTCAACATCGTCATCACCGAGAGCTGCCTGAGCAGGTACAGCGCCATCTTCTCCTTTCCTGCTGCAGCTGAAGCTCATGATGTGGACGCTCAAGGACGTATGTTTTCACCTCAAGCGCACAGGTGAGGCCTGCCCACGCCCACGCCCACGCCCCTCAGCTTCTGTGTTGGCCATGCAGCAGCTGCTCATCCCTCTGCGCAGCACTGGTGAGCCCTGCAGCCGGCTCCGTGCAGTTCCGCCAGCTGCAGCTGTTCAAACACGAGATGCAGCACTTCGTGAAGGTCATCCAGGGCTACATCGCCAACCAGATCCTGCACGTCACCTGGTGTGAGTTCCGGGCCCGGCTGGCCACGGTGGGCGACCTCGAGGAGATCCAGCGCGCCCATGCCGAGTACCTGCACAAGGCCGTCTTCAGGTGAGGCGGGGGCAGAGGGGGGCGTGGGCACCAGGGTTGCCCTGAGGCCGGGTCACCCACCGGCGGCATCGCCCTTGCTCCCCAGGGGCCTGCTGACGGAGAAGGCGGCTCCCGTCATGAACATCATCCACAGCGTCTTCAGCTTGGTCCTCAAGTTCCGCAGCCAGCTCATCTCCCAGCCCTGGGGCCCAGCCGGTGGCCCCCACGGCGCTGAGCACCCCAACTTTGCCCTCATGCAGCAATCCTACAACACCTTCAAGTACTACTCCCACTTCCTTTTCAAAGGTGAGCCATCCCGCACTGGCAGGTGGGCTGCCTGCAGGCATCGGGGCGAAGGGCAGGCAGGGCCCCACCCATCCCCTGGCTGCTCCTCCCACAGTGGTGACCAAGCTGGTGAACCGAGGCTACCAGCCCCACCTGGAGGACTTCCTGCTGCGCATCAACTTCAACAATTACTACCAGGACGCCTGAGCTGCTCGGCCTGGTGCAGGCATGTAAAGGTGCCTCGGGCGGGCCCCGGTCGGGCTGGGGTAGAATGACCACACAGAGATGGGCCTTGGGAGCTGCTGGTTTATTAGGGGCGGCTCCCAGAAGCAGGAGCCGGCAGCGCCGGTCCTCCCAGGCTGCCATGGGGGTTGTGGCTGCTGTGTCCTCCTGGGTCCGGTCCCTCTGCTGAGCTGTCCTTGCGTGAAGCAGCTTTTTATGGGGAGCGTGCTGCTGGCGGGACTGGGCTGGGCTGCTGAGTCGGTGTCAGACAGAGACGGGTCAGGTCCTGACTGGACGTCCCTGCCGTCATGGAGAGACGGGGTGTGGGGCTGCTCGCTGGCTGGGCACCGCCTCATGGACTCAGTGTCACTTGGGGCCTTGGGGGCCTTCCGGCCTCCAAGGCGGTTACGAGGATCACGTCACACACAGCTCGGCTGCCCAGAGCGGGGGCTTGCTGCTGTAGGAGCGGCGCCTCTCTGCTGTGCTGCCGGCCCCCTCAGGCTCAGCGGCCTCCAGGACCTCAGCGGCCTCCCCTTCCCTGTGGTACGGGGCCTCCAGCAGCTTCAGCACCCGTCGCACCTGGAGAGGAGCAAGGGGAGGTTATTGGGGACCCCTCCCTCCCTGGCCCAGCCCCTGCTGCGGGACCCAGGGAAGAGGAGGGACTGCGGGCCCTTGCCTCTGAGAAGTCTCCATTCTCGGCAGCCTCGATGGCATTCTGCGCGATGTAGTTCCGCAGGACGTACTTGGGGTTGTTGGCGTGCATGACATGCATGCGCTCGGCCTGCCAGGTGTCCTCGTCAGCGGCACCCTCCCTGTCCTGCTCCAGCCTGGTCCTGGAACCACAAGCCCCCTTGGCACAGCTGCAGCTCCCCGCCGCCTCCGTCGGGTTCCCAGAGATGGTGCCGCGCAGTCAGCACTTTGCCGACCCCGCACAGCTCAGCTGGACTCACCTGTACTGCTGCAGCCAGTCAGCCCAGTGGCCCCTGTTCCTGCTCAGCAGCTCGGCCGGGCTCAGCTGCTCCAGCCGCGCCTGCTGCTCCACGCGCTCCAGCTCCTTTGTGACGTTGGCCCGGGTGCCGATGAGCGCGAAGAGCTGCGGGTTTGACTGCGCCAGCATCAGCATCATGGAGAGCTGCCTGGGGTGGGGAGCGGCTCTGAGTGTGTCCAGGAGGCTGCAGCGCCCCACCCTGGCTGTGGACCATAGCCTGGGACTGCTGCACACCTTGACGACTGTCCCAGAGGAGGGATGGCCCCACCTGCCCTGCTGCACCCGCTACAGCCTGGCTGAGGGGAGCCCAGGCCCCATGGGTGAGGTAGATACGGGCACCTGCCAGCTGGCCACCCTTGTTCAGCAGCCCCTCCCTGTGACGGGCACAGCTGCACCCGAGGAGATGCCACAGACCGACTCAGGCGGACCCTGGGGTGGGCAGGGCACCGTCTGCCCCCACCCAGCACTGACTTCTGGGAGAAGTTCACTGCAGTCAGAGACAGGTCCTGCCGGCCAGTCCACCCTGGGTCCCCAGGCCCCACATTAAATTCCTCTCTGACCAGCCTGCAGGTTTGTTCATTAAAATGCACAGCCGCGCCTCCGTGTCTGGCCCTGAGTGTGGGCTGCACCCCAGGGACGTGTGCTCTTCCCAATGGGAGATGGTGCAGAAAGCAGGGCCCAGTGGAAGCCTGAGGGCCACCGAGAGCAGAGACCACCGTCCCCCAGCCCAGGCCCTGGGCCTCCCCATCCAGTGTCAGCATCACTGTCCTTTCCTCTGACCGCCACTCATTCCTGGGAAGGGAGCAGCTGCCCGGGCCCCAGCTGTCCAGCAGCACCGATGTGCAGCCCCTCACATGCTCTGTTCTGTCTCTCCTTTTCTGGAAACAAATTCCAAGGAAGTAGGACATGAGCACCCACCGGGGGTCCATCTGGGGCCGGAAGGCAAGCCGCAGCTCCTCCAGGGAGGCGCACTGCTCCATCAGCGCAGTCAGGAACTCGGCCAGGCCCGGAGCCTCAGGCCCCACTGGGAAGGAGCTCAGCAGGTAGAAGGTGTTTGTGAAGTCGGCACCTGGAACACACAGCTGCTCAGGTACAGGGAGGCGGAGGCCAGGCTCTGCTGCCCTCGTGCAGTATTGCCTACGACAGACTGACCCACACTCCATCCTATGGTGTCAGGCCCAGCTGTTCCTCAGCCCCTACTCTGGACCTGACAAGTCCTCAAGGTCCCCAATCCCAGTTTCTTCATCTGTAAAATGGGTACAAAAGTGAAGGCACTGGGGTCGGCCCCTGGCCTCAGGAGCTAGTGTCCCCAAGCCCCGGAAACATGCCCATAAGTCCTCAGTCTGACCTGTCAAAACAGTCATCATAACTCCTAAGAAAACCTCCAGCCCTAGCCAGTTTGGCTCAGTGGATAGAGCGTTGTCTTGGGAACTGAAAGGTCCCGGGTTCCATTCTGATCAAGGGCACATGCCTGGGTTGTGGGCTCGATCCCCAGTGGGGGACTTGCAGGAGGCAGCTGATCCATGACTCTCTCTCATCATGGATGTTTCTATCTCCCTCTCCCTTCCTCTCTGAAATCAATAAAAATAAAAATAAAAAACCTCCAAAACCACAAAGGAAACAAGAAGGGAATGAATTCAGTGTGTTACCAAAGAACCAACAAAACACAAGCAGCAACGGAGAAAATGAGGGCAAATGGTGTCAGACACAGACAACAAATAGCCAACTGGCAGAAGCGCTTCTTTCTCAGGAATCACTTAAAGGAAATGAGTTAAACTCCAATCAACAAGCAGGGATTGGCAGGATGAAGTAAAAGATCCAACTACACCACCATCTCCGAGACTCACTTTAGAATCAAGTTGAGAGTGAAAGGTTGGGAAATGTGTCCTGTGCAGAGAGCCTAGAAGCTGGTGGCCTGACGTCGGACGCAATAGGGTTTGGGAGGAGCTGTATGACGTGCTCGGACGTGGACGTGCCTCTCACACAGGACCACACGCACACGAGTGGGAGCTCCTGATGTGCAAGGCGAACGTCCGCCGAGCTGAAGGGAGAAACAACAGTCATGTCCACGTCCAGCAATGGGGGTGGCGTCCAGGTGGACGTTCAAGGACCCACACCCCACACGCCAGTAAACACCGGACCACAACACTGCCCGTGGGAGCCACACGCTCCCCATCAGACCACGGTGGCCACCAGACAAGTTCTAATACAGTGAGAAGGGCTGCTGGTATCTCCGCCGGCCACAGTGGAATGAAGCCACAAATCACAAACGGGAGGAAAATGGAAAATTCACAAATAATGTTGAAATCAACATAACCCAAGGGCCCAACAAAGAAATCACAAGGGAAATGATAAAATACGCAGAAAGACACGAGCACACCATGGATGCCAACTTTAAAAGATCTCTCATCACAAACACAGTTTGTAACTATGTGTTCCCTAGAGTCTCCGTGATCATGTTGCGTATACACAAGTATCAAATGGTGGTGTGCACCTGAGTGAACATGTCGTGTGTCAATCACGTCAATTAAAAAAGATCTCAAATCAATCACCTGATATCATACCTAACAAACTAGAAAAAGAACAAAGCAAGATCAGTGAGCAGAAGGGAAGGAACTAAAGATTACAGCAGAGATAAATGAAACAGAAAAACTGAGAAGATCAACAAATCGATAAACTTAACTACATTGACAAAAAGAGAAGATACAAATAACTAAAATCAGAACCCAAAGACTAAGAGATTACAATGAATAATTACATGCCAATAAATCAGATAACTCTGGTGAAATTGGGCAAGTTCCTAGAAACACACAAATTACAACTGACTCGAGAAGAAACAGAAAATCCATAGTTCTGTAACTAGTAAGGATACATACCGAATTCCTGATCTAACACTTCCCCCAAAAGAAAAGCCCCGGACCTGACCCTTCACTGGTGAGTTCTGTCAACCACCACTCTAGCTGGTGTGGCTCAGTGGACAGTGTCAGCCTGCGGACTGAAGGGTCCCAGGTTGATTCCGGTCAGGGCACATGCCCAGGTTGCAGGCTCGATCCCCAGTGTGGGGCGTGCAGGAGGCAGCCGATCAATGATTCTCATCATTGACGTTGCTCTCCCTCTCCCTTCCTCTCTGAAATCAATAAAAATATATTTAAAGAATTATCACCAATCCTCAAACTCTTCTGAAAAACAGGGAACTCTTCCTGATTTACTCTGTGAGGCTGGCACTGCCTTGACACCAAAGCCAGATACTGCAAGGAAAGAAAGCGACAGGCCAGTGTGCCAGGACACTAGCGAAGTCCAGCTGTTCGAAGGGCCGGCACCATGGCCAGCAGGGTGTGTCCCAGGAGCGCACGGGGCTGCGACCTCCATCCCAGTGTGAGGGTCAGGGGGCTGGTCTTTGGGAGGCAGTCGGGTCATGAGGGTGGGGCCTCCTGGGGGGACTCGTGTCCTTGTGAGAAGAGACAAAAGCTCCACCCTCCCTGCTCTGCCCATGAGGACCCAGCGTGGAGGCAGCATCTGTGAGTGAGCAGCGGCCTCACCAATAACCCCCCACGCTGGCACCTCCATCTTGGCCTCCAGCCTCCAGAACGGAGACATGGCTGTGGGCTGAGGCCCGTTTGTGGCAGTTCGTTCTAGTTCACACGGACTAAGGATATGAATGAAGGCGTAAAGCCATGTGGTCGCCTCCACTGACGCACATGGTGAAAGCACCCAAACTGGAAACAGGATGAGGCGCAGCCCCGCCTGCTCTGTGGTGGCGGACAGGAAGCTTCCCTCCCGCCAGCCTGAGCTCTGGGCCAGGCCCTCTGCTAAGTGCAGGACCGAGTGTGGGACTGAGAGGGCTGTTTTCACAGCAGCGAAAGGGCCAGCCGGCCCACGGCATGGGCGGGTGGTGCTGAGCACAGCAGGCCCGTCCGCACAGCGCAGCGGCCTCCGCCTCGGTCAGCACGGGGCCTGCAGGACCCGGTGCTCACGTTGTCAGCCAGACACACAGGGCTGTGGGCTTCCCCTTCTGGGAGACAGCGAGCAGGACGGT